GGTTGTGGTTGCGGAGTAATTGGATGCGGTTGGTCCGCGTCTGTGCGAGGACCGTCCTTTGTGGGCGCCCACTGTAAACGATTCGCACGGTTGCGTGTGTGTAGGGGTCCGGCTTGTGCGGTTTTGTTTGGCGGGGCTTCTGGAGATGGGGCACTGAGCCCTTCGGGCCTCTCGTTGGGCTCGACCACGGCTGCGACGGGCGCTTCCAGGTGCATATACTGCGATGAGCCCCTCAGTGGGCACTGCGAGGAAACCGGCCAGCTGCCCGCGGCCGAGCGCTGCCAAGAAGAAAGGGGGGCTAAGGGCGTGGATGCACGCCCACCACTGCTGGTCGCGGTGGCGGGGACACATGTGTCGACCCCGGGCAGGATGCCGACCCCAGCGGGGCCCGAGACGGGCACCTCCACTTCTCCTTCTTCCCGTCCGCCGAGGCAGCTCCCCCCCCCCCCCCACGGGAGAATCGGGCGGTGCCGTCGGCCAGGAGTCGAGTGATGGGGCTGTTGAAGCGCGCTTAGGCCCTTGTTTGTGGGGGCCGTACTTCGCGTGGAGCCTGGAATGGCGGTGTGTCCCTTTTGCCACCAGCCATCGTTGGCAGGCGTTGTGGTCTTCGGGTGCTCCCACGCTTACCATGCCAACTGCGTGATTGGCTACCTCGCTGGCGAGGGCGTTCTGCTCGTTGGCCCAGCCGGCGTTGATGTTGGCCGCTTCTTTAAGCACCCGGAGGAATACCTGAGGGCGGACGCGCGGCAGAAGTCGCCGTGCTGCCTTCTCTGCCGCGAGGTGCGGGGGGCAGTGAAGTAAGTCACCGGAGCTGAGGCCGGTGCTGGAGAAACGAAGTGGGTGCCTTTGCCGCGCCACGGCGTCCATGACCTTGACTTGTGTATTCGCTGCTTTCTGCTCCCCTGTTCCCTGCCTGGCCGCCTGTTTCCCGTTGGGGCCGTTGCACGTTGTTTTTGTTGTCTTGTGCGTTGAGGAGGTGGAAGGAAGGGTTGAGGTTGGGCGGCTGGGGCGCAGAGCGGTGCCACGACCGCATGCGGCGAGGCGTTATTCGGCAGCGCAAGGAATTCTTGGAGCGAAGGCAGAACGAGCACGTCCATGAGGCGATCCATGCAAGAAAAGAGCAGTTCCGTGAGGCTGTGAGCGGCGCCACGCCGCTCCCGGGGCACCTCCGCAAGGATGCGTTGGCCCTCAAGAAGTTCTCGGAGCTGGACGACGCCCAGACGAGGACACTGCAGACCACCGTAGATGACGAGTACGCCAACGCGGGGGTTGAGGACCCGCGCGTCCTTGTCACGACGTCACGCGAGCCTTCGCAGAAGCTGCTGGAGTTTGCGAAGGAGATTAGACTTGTCGTGCCTAACGCGGTTCGCATGAACCGCGGTAACCTCAGCGTCCGCCAGCTCATGGAGGCGGCGCGGCGGGGGCAGTACTCCGACGTCGTTGTGCTGCAGGAGTCGCAGGGCGTCCCTGATAGCCTCACCGTTTCGCACCTGCCCTTAGGACCGACCGTCGTCTTTACAATACATAACCTCGTGACACGGCACGACATCCAGGACGTTGGCACAATGTCGGAGCAGTACCCGCATTTGATTTTTGAGAACTTCACGACGAGGCTGGGCCACCGGGTGCGGGACGCGTTGAGGTTCCTTTTCCCCGTTCCGAAGCCTGACGCCACCCGCGTCTTGACGTTCGACAACCAGAACGACTTTGTGAGCTTCCGCCACCACACGTTTAGGGTAGTGAAGGGGAGGGAGGCGCAGCTGACGGAGGTTGGCCCCCGCATGGAGCTGACGCCGTACCGCATCACACTGGGGACGCTTGAGATGGACGACGCCGAGACGGAGTGGGTGCTGCGGCCGTACATGAACACGGCGAAGAGGCGCCGGCTCCTGTGAGGGGGGCGGGGCTATAGGCGCACGTGCACGCCCCCCTCGCCCCCCTCGCCCCGATGCCCTTCCCACGCGGCGGTGGGTCGCTCGTTTAAGGTGACGCCGCAGCGCGCACCAGGCTGGTTCGAGGAGGTAAGAACGAAGCTCGTGTAAAAGCGAGGGAGGACGCGTGTCTCCACAGCGCAGGACTGCCGCCGAACGCGGCCCTGTCGGCCCTTCTTTTCCCCCGCCCATTCCCATCCTTTTTATCGTTATCTCTCTTTCTCTCCCATGCTACTTTCTCTCTCTCTCTCTGTGTGTGTGAGCAAGGAATTAAGGATTTTTCGAACCCACACAAAAAGGTAATAAAAGAGCGATGCTGTGCTCCTCGCGTCTCCTCTTCAACGCCGTGGCACCACGGGCGCTTGTCGCCGGTGGACTGGGTCAGATCGGCACCGACCTCTCCCTTGCCCTGCGCGAGAAGCTTGGCGCGGACTCCGTCCTCACGTGTGACGTGGTTCCGGTGCCCCCAAATCACCCGCTTGCAGGCAAGAAGGGATTCCAGCAGCTTGACTGCATGAACCGCGACGCCTACGAAAAGTTGGTGAAGGAGTTTAAGCCGACGTGGCTGTTCCATCTCCCAGCGATCATGTCCGTCCGCGGCGAGGCGGAGCCGCAGCTGGCACTGGACCTCAACATCAATTCGACGCGCCACGCCCTGGACCTCGCGCGTGACTACAAGATGCGCTGCTTCATCCCCAGCACCATTGCCGCCTTCGGTGACAAGTGCGGCAAGGTGAACACAAAGGACGACACAATCATGAACCCCTCAACGGTGTACGGTGTCACCAAGGTCTTCACGGAGTTGATTGGCACATACTACCGCGAAAAGATGGGTGTGGACTTCCGCTGCGTGCGCTTCCCCGGCATCATCTCCGCCGCGACCCTTCCCGGTGGTGGCTCCACGGACTACGCGATTCACATGTACCACTGCGCGTTGGCGGGCAAGAAGTACGTGTGCCCCGTCCTCCCCGACGAGCCACTGCCTATGCTGTACATGCCGGACACCCTCGGTGGAGTGCTGAAGCTGATGGAGGCGCCCCAGAGCTGTCTGCGGCGTTCGGTGTACAACATCAGCGGTTTCAGCTTTACCCCAGCGCAGCTGAAGACCAGCATCGAGGCACGGACGAAGCGCCCGTTGGAGGTGGAGTACGTCGAGGGCCCTGCGCAGGGCATTGCGCACTCATGGCCTGACTCCCTGGACGACTCCAACGCCCGCCGGGACTGGGGCTACGAGGTGAAGTACGACCTGGAGAAAATGACGGAGGACATGCTCCGCGAGATCCCGCGCCTCCATGGGCTCCCGTCGCTGTAGTGGGGAAGGGCCCAGTCTCGCCCCTTCCATGCCGACAACCGCATTCTTTTGCGACACAAAATAATTGAAAACGAAAACGCCATTACGCCCCTCCACAGGTAATAAAATAGGATTTCATTGAACTTTCTGGATTTTTTTCTTTCTTTTTATTTTCCTCCTAATGAGTTGTTTTGAACCTCACTTCCGATGCGTCACGGTTGGCCGTTACCGAGCGTGTCGGGGGCACGCTTTGCGGGGCTGCAAATCACGGGCGTTGACGCAGGATTATTTTCCTTTTTTTTTTGTTTAAAGAATAACTTTACGGTCCATGGCGTATACAGGCATATATGGGGTGTTCCCTCGGCGCACCTGCTTGCCTAGCTAATTCTTCCACTCTTGGCTTCCGGGCCATCTGTGGTCGCTGGTGTTTGTGGGGCGGCACTGCGGAGACGTGGAGCCCGTTGCGAGGACGCCCCGTCCGTTGCTTTGGGCGTTTGTGTGCCGTGTTCGCACTGCCGCGTTGGTGTTGTGTTTTTTTCTCCCCTGTTCTTTTTTTCCGGCGGTGTCGTGCCTAGGAAGGATGGCTCTGCTTGTCGTGCGCCCGGACTTGTTGGTGGCGTTGTGAGCGGCAGCGGTCGTTCGCGTGGCAGTCCCCTCTTTCCCTCCCTGCGTCTGCGGGCGTGTGGGCGGTGGCGGGGGGCGAGCGAGAGCGCCACAGGCGTCTCCGGCGGCAGAGCTGGCGAAGGCCGGGCGGGGGCTGCGCGTGAGCGGCTGCGCGGCTCCTGCTTTTGCGCCTTGTTGGTTGTGGTTGCGGAGTAATTGGATGCGGTTGGTCCGCGTCTGTGCGAGGACCGTCCTTTGTGGGCGCCCACTGTAAACGATTCGCACGGTTGCGTGTGTGTAGGGGTCCGGCTTGTGCGGTTTTGTTTGGCGGGGCTTCTGGAGATGGGGCACTGAGCCCTTCGGGCCTCTCGTTGGGCTCGACCACGGCTGCGACGGGCGCTTCCAGGTGCATATACTGCGATGAGCCCCTCAGTGGGCACTGCGAGGAAACCGGCCAGCTGCCCGCGGCCGAGCGCTGCCAAGAAGAAAGGGGGGCTAAGGGCGTGGATGCACGCCCACCGCTGCTGGTCGCGGTGGCGGGGACACATGTGTCGACCCCGGGCAGGATGCCGACCCCAGCGGGGCCCGAGACGGGCACCTCCACTTCTCCTTCTTCCCGTCCGCCGAGGCAGCTCCCCCCCCCCCCCACGGGAGAATCGGGCGGTGCCGTCGGCCAGGAGTCGAGTGATGGGGCTGTTGAAGCGCGCTTAGGCCCTTGTTTGTGGG